GGTAACCAACGCCTGTTTATGTTTACGTAAGTGACAGTGTGTGATAAAGGAACAGGAAATAATTAAATTCAAACAAAAATGGGCGCAGTTTTAACAATTCTCTAATGATTTGATCAATCGAAAAATAATTATACAATTTAACTCAATCCATTCTGTCGTTCTTTCTTTAATTATTAATGTATGAAGCGTTTACAACAGGACAATAATACCTGGTAAGTCTATAAATAACACATTACACCTGTCAATATATACTATTAATTCAATCAGTAAACATTAGTTAAACTTGACAGATTCGATTTTGTTTATTTTTGATAGAAATAATTGATGTTTCTTTGATTGTTGAATTTATGCAAATATTTCTTGAATGAAGAAAAACGAATGATAAGAACCTCTTTCAACAGCTAGTTGTGAAATGAGTCACAAAGAGTTCATACATTAATGATAAATATAGGTATTCTTTAGACAAGAGAGGGGCTGAAGGCCGTGAGGAAGGTAATAAAGTCAAGAGCATAGCATATACATGTGGCTCGCATAAACACTTTACTCTTTAGTTTTTTATACGAATATGTACATATATACATACAGGCACTTTGATTATGCACATTTTTTTCCATTACCACTAAAAGAAAAATTCCCTTTAAAGTTCACAAACACAGGAAAGATTCTATAAAAAATCTTGATAGTTTTTCTGACTTATTTAATCGGCTGATTACAATGATTTATCGTTGTGACCATGAATTTTTCTTTAATATATAATTTTAATTTATGCTAAAAATTTGATTTATAATTGGTAATTAAAGATAATAGAAGATGCTACCGGATGAATACTGAGTAGAGAAAAAATTCTCTTAGTTTTATGAATTTTTAATGTGATTATTTCAATTAATGAAATTTATTAAAAAGTCAAGAAGATTTATAAACTAATATTCAAAGAAATACATTCTTCCAGATGGTTATTATTTAACGTAAGAGAGTTTTTCCCAAGATCCACAAAGAAATTCTTATTCGCATACTTTAAGTAAAATCTCAACATTAAAGGAATACTTCGGCATTTCACAAAAATAAATTAAAAATATTTCTATTTGAAAAACCTCTTTTTTACAATTTTTTTATTATTGGAATTATCGTTATAAACATAAACATCTATGAAAAAATTGAAGAAATTTATACGAAGAAGATTTGGTCATTAATCTTAAGTAGAGCAAATGATGAGTCTCCTTTCTAAATCATACAAGAAAAAAAATGTTTAACTAACAACGAAACTGGAATTCTCGTAAGCAAATTTGATTACTTAGAAGATGTCGTAGTAGAATAGTTACTTACAAAAATTCAAAATTCAGAGTAAATAAAAATATTTGTTTTTCTAAAATGAATCAGTGTAAATCAATACGAAGCAGTCTATATTCACTGATTTGACATTTATGAAACTATCATTGTTTGAATCAATGTTATTATTACTCTTAATTGTATGTTAAAATGTATATATATTCACTATCATGTATTGAAACTAATTTAAAATTTAAAAAATTTTATCATTTTCCAATACTTTGTTAACATGTAGCAATGAAAATTTAAACTCTTTTTAAAGTAAGGTCGTTGGATTTCATTAAAATTGAATCATCCATTGAGAGGTGAGTAAAGTTTAAGTAAAATATCACGTGATTTCCATACTAAAAATCTCTGCAAAAAGTAATTTTTCATAAAAATTTCTCGACAACTATCTTAGTATTATTTTTATTAAAATTAAAATTGAAAACATTTGAATTAAAATAAACTCAAATTCATTTTTATCTAATTTTCATTTTATACCTAATTTAAAATTAATCAACTTGATTTATAACTGAATAAAATTAATTTAGTAATTCATGATAAATTTCAGAAATAAATTTTCCGTCTCGATAACGACATATTTTTTGATAAGATTAAATGAATTTTCTTTTTTTTTGATCTTGATATCTGAGTGAAATTACTATTCATATATTTCAGTGACAAAAAAATGATTGAAAAAATTTTGACAGATAAGAATGAAAGTTGTATGTGGATGTATCACAACACAGGATTATGTCGATATTTGACATAAATGATGGATTGATATGAGTACAGCCATTCTCATATGACAGAGTGAGAGATAGAGAGAACCACATACTCGAGAGTAGAGAATTGCTAGAGGATTAGGTCGCCATTGCGTCACAGACAAAAGTATGTGGGGGATGGAAGATCGATATATCGTTGTAGAGTCTTGAATATTATATATTTAAAGTTTTGTATCTCTTTGACTTATATTACTATGAACGATTCATTTAATATGTAACTAGAACTAGTTTTATGAACTGTAATCATCTAAATTCAACTCAGCTAAATACCTAGACCACATTGTACAGAGTTAATTTTAGGCTTTGATACAGTATATTTTATGGACAATGTGAAACAATATCAGATGTGATTCAGGTCCTCTTGAGAACTTGAGAGTACTATATAGAGACGCGACAAAAGACGATAGAACCGATTAATAATTGAACGTATCTCCTATCTTCAGGGTATCACTAGTTCTCGCAACAATATATACAATGTCATTCAGAATAGTGAATCTATTTTTGATGAAAAAAATGCATTAATATTTTAGAACAGAATAATAGCACTGAAATATTGATTATTTTGAACAAGTGTAAATTTTATCTGCATTAAGGTTTTTTTTTATTCTAGAGAAAGTATATTCAAATAACAAGGACTATTTTAAAATTCATTTTTTAAAAAAGTAGTATAATCTTATGGCTCGAAAGAAATCTGGTTTGAGAATTTTTTTGAAATAATTATTTTATCAAATTCAAGGATCAAGTAACATTTTCAATTCTTGAAACATTCATTTGCAGGTACTACTGTCATCATGTTCTTTTTTACATTAATTAAATTTCTATACCTAAAAATAATTTTAGATGTTTTAGACTATTCGTTATTATTCTACTCTAATAATTGTTATTAAAATAATTCTAATTTCGAATCACAGATGATGACTAAAATAGAATAAAAAATATAAATGAAAGATTTATTTATTTATTTATTTATTAACTATAGTTAAATAAATTAAATAAGACAAATCAGTTTAATATTTTACGAGTGCAAATTTAATATTATTGTACTTTAAACTAAAGTGATAGAAAACAGAAATACATTATTCATTTTCTCAGTTTTCTAACCAACTCCAGATGCTTTAATTAATTTTATTCTAAAAATTTAACTTTACTATTTGATCATAATGTTATTAATTTTTTTAATTAATATATAAATTACATATTATGATAAAAATCTATAAATAGAAAAAAAAAATAAAAAGAAGTCGAGAAATGAAAATCATTCATCATATCTTTAGAAACTACATATAAATAATGCAAGAATTTCTTCAAATGTTTGTTGAACTATTGCTCCCAAAAACTTTTCTCTTACGGCCATTTCACCCTAATTAACATCAGTTTAATATATTATTATCACACAAAAATAAAATTTAGAAAGTCTGCAAATGTCTTGGATGTCAACTACTAATGTTAATAATTCTAAAGGTCACACTGAATTAACTTGTAGTAATAAAATAAATTCTTTTATGTAACTTCATCTCATAATTGGTAATTGACTCATATTTCTACCTTTAGATACAAATAAAATATAAAATTCAATGTGGCTTGATATTTGAATAAATAATAAAATGAAAGATTAATGTTGAAAAATATTTTGATAGATTTGTGACATAACAAATGGACAAAAATAATTCAAGACAGACAAATAAACCATATATAAGTGATTGTATTGAAATGAAAACAGCGGAGGTTTTTCAAAGCAAAGTAAATGAAATAAAAAATGTATTCATGATTGATCGCAGTTTTTTTATGTACCGTCGTATATAATATTTATTGTATTTCTCTCAAATGCTTTTCTCAACCAACTGGAATAATTAATTATATTCTGAAAATGGAACCCAATGTAAATATCTATGAACTTGGAATGAAAACAAATAAATACTCTATATCCTATTAAATATTTAAATTGATAACAATACGCACTTATCACATGTCTATGGAAAAATGATGAAGGAAAGACTGAATTAAAAATAAATATAAAATGTAGACAACTTGACATTCATGTTGAAATTGCTCAAAACATTTCTGATTCCGAGAATATCTTACTGTATGTACGAAAAAAATAAAAATTAGATTTTGGAGCAGTATTTAACAAAGAATAAGTGTAATTTTCACTTGATGAAGGACATAAAAATTCAATTTTTTTTCAAATAAAAAAATATTTTCACGTATTTTTTTTTACATTATTATATCAAAGTTAAAATTAGATGATAGCGAAATGATTTTGAATTTTAATATCACCATTATTATTATATTACTTTTCTGTTACTCAATGAATAATATTATACGGTTGGAGTAAAATAATCTTAGTTAACTTAGAAACATAATGCTTTATAATGATATATAATTACATTTATAAATAATTTTAATATTAAAAGAGTAATAATTTATTTCTACTCTGAAACAAATTAATAGATTTATAAAAATTCTAAAAATAAATAGACTTTGATATTTGATAGAGATTTTCAATACTAAAAACAAAATAAAATTAAAAATTTTTTGTATTTTGCTAAAACTATTGAAATTTTTATGTTATTGTGTACAAAATTCTATCTATAGATTTTTGTGAGTACCACTTTTTTTTACGAGTACGAAGTAAAATTAAAGATAACAGACGAAAAAAAATTCATGTGTGTAAATACACAACCTGAATAAAAATCAATTTGGTGAGCAAACGAAACACCATATCAAAAAATTCAAATCAATCTTTCCATCAATACGATTAGTTTTTTTTATTATTATTATTCCATTCACAGTGAATTACTAGTGAACTTAATCTTCTCTCATCTTTTTTTTGTTTGAACTAATAAAAAGTTCTACCATGATCAAGTTCTTGTCCAGGGACAGAAAGCTGAATAAAAATGAACTTACCTTTCAATTTTATCCATAGTCGTGGGATGTTGAAGTATGGTTTGTTGTCCAGTCATCTCTACGACGCATTGTGTGCCAAGTTCCAATTCTGCAACACGACAAAAGCATATCAGTGCATGAGATTGTTGAAATAACCTTCTATCGACAATAAGATCAGCACGAAATGCAACTACTTGACACAAAATCGATTAAGGTTAAGGGTTAAACATAAAATCAGAAGAAAATAATTTACACAATTATTTGATAAATAATAATCACCTCTTTATAGAATAAAAGTACACTTAAATTGTTTACTGCAACTTTATTTCTCTTCAATAAACAAATGATTATCTTTGTTATTATTATTAATTCTCTATATTTAAATAACACTTATTTTTGAAAAAAAATTAGTTTAAAAAATCTACCAACTATTGATGGTATTTTATAGAGAGGATTTCAATAAGAAGAATCTTTGTTTGCAATATTAATTGTTTTGAGAGCACAAATCTAAAATTAAGTTCAACAGAGATGAATTCTCTTTTTTTTATTTTTGAATCGATAGACTCTGATCTAAAAATAAATAAAAAATTCATTCGATTTCAATTGCAAGTATTTGTTTAATTTTGAATAATAGTGTTTATTCGTTTGGTTAGTGTATGTGAATTTTAAAAGAAAAAAATTGATTTCTTGACCACAAAATTGGTTTTTGCGTTGAATTTGAACACTTTGGAACTATGTGAAAGAGAGTGAATTTTATTTGATATTTAAATTGAAAATTTTAACAAAGATTTTAATAAACTGGTGAGAATATACCAAATTTTACGTAAAGTCAATATTTATCCATGACCTAGGGATTGCAGGAGAATTAGAATAAATATTTATTAATAATCTCCATAAATGATGACTTATTTTTATAGTTTTAAATAGTAATGACATTGAACATGCTAAAAAATAGTTATGATGTCTAATATTTATGATTCTAGCTCCACTTTGATAACACCGAACTGGTTTATGTTAATGACTATCTCGTTAACTAATGTATATTTAGACAAGATATAATCCGATGTATTTTAATTTTCTTTTTATAATTACAATAAAAATTTAATTTTATTTCATTTGAAAAAAAAGATAACAAGTTTTAATTCTTTCAAATCCCTGAAAAAAAAATTGTAATCCAATAATTTTGAGGATTTTTGAAAGTTTTGACCCAATTATCAACCATTCGTGTCCACAAAATTCATCAACCAGATAAAAATAAAAAAAACCATTGATAAATTGATTGTTTCATATAATAGACGGTTAAAAAAACTGTCATGGATTTTTCCAAACTTTCGAAATAAGTTAAATATATTCAAAATAAAAACAAGACTTGAACATCAATTATTGAAGTTTACATTGAATGGAAAAAAGGAATGAAATGGAAGAATTTCATTTGATCTTTGAAACACTTTATACGTGTAAGGAATATTCTTTTTATTCTATAAAAATTTTTAATAATTTCTTTCTTCTTTAGCTTCACATTCAGTATTCATTTTATTAATTCAAATGGCTTGAAATGTGTCTTGACTCTTTAGAAGTCAGGTCTTGACATGTCATTGAGGTGATGACATCTTAATAAGAAAACTTGTTGTCATTGAATTAATCATTAACTGTTTTAATAAAGTTATATTATTTTTTATCACTTTAAGAATCACAAAACTTTCATCAATTTATTCTTAATAAAATCCTCGGAGTATTTTCTAAACATGACCAACTCTATGTGAACTCATTAAAATGCATGAAAGTTCAATAATTCCATGGAAGGTGTTGAAATATAAATGAAAATATGTTGAAAGCTTACAAGGGATAAAATAGGAAATGGTTCTATTTAAATTTCAATAGTTCTTCTTGATATTCTGAACCACAACATTTCGTAATAAATAGTCCTAATCGTATTATTGGTACTAAGGAAGAGGTAGTAGGTCGGTTAGCAAGATCTAGCCTTCATTAAACTATTAATATTCCATTCTCAAAGTGTAACAGGCACGTGCAGACGCGTAATCGTATCATGTACCATAACACCAGCATACCAAATAGAGCCTGACGTTGTTTAAACACAATTAGCTGCTAAGGATCAATGATTACAATGATAGAAAGTTCATTCATAGATCGTTAAGTCTTTCGATTTGCGCCATTCAATTGTCTTCCTTACATTGATTTATCTAATTGCCAAACTTTTGTTGAACATCACACATTAATTTTCAATCACCACGATAATTGATTTGCCGCAATAACCATCAATTATTAATAGTATTAGAAAGTTGTAATTGCTATTAGAAAAGTTTCGGAGCACTTGCTTGTTCAGTGAATCATTTGATGTAAAAATGTTTGTATAGGTAACTTTTATTATAATTGCTTCTACTTCAACAAAAATACAGAAATATTATTTTTTTAACTTTCTCAGATATTCTACGATTAAAAATATCCATTAAATTTACTTAAAACAATGACTATTCAATTGAAGATAAAGTAAATTATTATCTTTAGTTTTATCCATTATTAAGCAAGAATTTTAATTTGCAGATTTTTTTTATTATGAAAGTGTTTCAAACTTCTCATTAAGAAATTTTGTAATAATAGAAAAAAAGTAAGGTATTGCATGATTTCATTTTTCTTGCAAAATAGATATACTATATGACCTAGTATATATATATCGATGAATTATTATTATTATTATTATCCAATTTAATATCATATCAATATCTAGATTCTTGTCAGCTTCAGTCGTTAGTCTATCGACTAAATCGACACTTATCTATAAAGTTCTTATTAAAATGTAAAAACTTGCACTTATATTTGATTCACATTCTGCCAAAAGTATGATAATTAAATCACGATCATGATTTAATTCGTATTCTCTCATCGATTCTTTTCTTAAAAAACAAATTAAATGGATCAATCATCATTTTCACTAACATTTTATTGTCATGTATGAAATCTTGTCGTTTCTTCTACAAAAACATTAAATATATTCGATTGGTAACTAACAAACCGCCTTTAAAAAGCAAACTCACTATTTCTTTGATTAAAAACTCAAAGATTACTATCAGAAAAGTATTATGTCTCTGCCAACATGTTGGTGACAGGTGATGAAAAGCAATGGTGTCTATAAAATTAAGAAATAATTTTATTTTGTACTCGAAAAATTCACCAAATTAGTATTCTGAGATAACAGGTTTGTTACTTACCAACCTAACTGACATTTTATTTTATACAAATAAAAGAAAATGACCATTTTTGTAATACCATTATGAATAAACTTATAAAAAATATTCAATATTCAATTTATAAAAAAGAAAATGATTATAAGAAATCTAAATAAAATTTTTCCCTTTAATTTGTGATAGTTTTATACTCTTCTTTAATTATTGCTTTATTTTCATCTTTATTGAAACATTTCTTTATTCACTATGTGCAATAAAAAAACATGAATAATTTATTTCTAAGATTTAAAATAAGAATAGAAATCAGAGAGAAAGAAGCATTTCATCTACAATAGACAAGTAGCTCTTCAAGAGATGATCCTTTGAGAATTTTCCTTTATAAAATCTTTTATGTCTCTAAACATAATGCACGAACCATTCGTCGTAAGTCTTCGTATGAGAAATTGATACCCAAAGCAGATTATATTATTCTTTGAAAAAAATGATAATAAATAGATAAAATATGAGGAAAGGAGAAAAGTTCTTGCTTTTTTAAAAAATAAAGCAACTAAAAAAATAAAAAAACAGGACCGATTTCATGTACTTGTATTAAAAGCATCTTCAGTGAAGTATATTTTTCTTCACTATATATAAATAAGTCTTTGATTTCAATCGCAGTCATATTTTTTATGAATCCAATCATCCATCACTAGTAAAAGTTCTGAACATATTTTTAAAACGGTTATTTTTAACTCACGACAAAATTTCAAGCTTCCAAAAATTGATTTCATCAAACTAGTTAACATTGCATTTTTTTAAATATTACTACATGTCATTTTATAATATTATGTTTCCATAGAAAAATTTGATATTTTTTATTCAGGTTAATGAGAATTGATAACGAAATGATATTTATGAAAATAAATATGAGTCTAAAGCCACTATTAATCTAAATATAAATTCAGTAATTCAGCATTAATCCAGTTCGATTAAATTATTCAGTTACATTATGTCAAATTTACAAATATCATATCTTCAGGCATAATTCAATTTATTGTTATGATTATTGTAAAATCCTCTACATGAATATAAAACTCACTTCATTTTATGATAAATTATCACTGCCTAAGCGCACATATTATATTACTATAATTATCTCATAGACATAAGACACTTTAAGCATTGAATTATTATTTTTCAGCAAAACGTTGGGAGCTATAAGCTAACTCAACGAGCAATTTAGTGTTGAGATTTTGCAGCAACATTTCTGTTTTTTTACCTTTACAAATATTCAATAAATTACTCAACCCAACCTCACAGTGTTAAAAATTGATTTACAACATTATTTTAAATACATAAATAAATTTTTTATTCTCCTAATTGAATATAAAATAATAAGTTTTGGAAACAAATGATTTTTTAAATAGAAAATTCTTTATTAAACCATCAATTATATAAGTAATAATATTTATCTTCTCAACTCAAAACTTATGTCGGCAGCTGCCACGCATGCGTCACTACCATACAAAATCTAATGAAAGCACAAAGAGCTCTAAAAGTATGTGAATAAGAGAGAGAAAGAAAAGTCAGAACGGTAGCTTCGTTTTTTAGAATGTTTATTTAGATACCTTGTTAGACAGTTACACGACTGGAACATAAAATGATGAATCATCTTAACCAAGCTAATTGTCTAAAGAACGAATGATTTGTTTGTATAACAGTTTAAACAATGAAATTATTCCAATTGGTAGTATTTGGATTATTCTTACTTTTATTCTATAACTGAACAAAAAATGAATATTAGAAGTTCGAATAATTTTTTTCAGCGTCATAATCTATCTAAACGTTTGAAAATTTTATGAACATATCTTAGCATAACTTCTCAATTCGAATTAATAAAGGTCTACTAATTTTCTATTATTTTTCATTTATTCAAATAGTTCAAAGTTTAACCATGTAAATTAGCAGAATTCGACTAGACTTTAAGTAATTAAAATAGATGTACGTATTTAATTAGTGTTTAATTATAAATTAGTATTAAAAAATTGAAAGAAAAATGGATTAGGGTTAATTCATTAATTTTTGAAACTGATATGTTTTTAAATCATAAAAATTTCAGCTTAAATAAATATCAATCAACTAATTTATTTATTTGAACATAAATATATAATTAAATGATATGTGAATATATTAGTTATTCTGTTTAAAAAATATTAGATCACAAAACTAATTAATTGTTTAACTTGAAAAAAGTTATCTAGATTAATTTATTTTTAATTATAAAATTTCGATGTTTTTGAATAAATTTTTATTATAATCATTCGTTATTCAATATAAAACATCTATTTTCAAACAGTTCAGCATTTTTTTCAGTTTTTAATACAATTACACAGCAGAAACTTAATTTTTCAATATTTTTCAAACACAGAACCATTTGCTCAGAATCATTCATCAAAATGGTTTGTGGTAAAATTAAGTATTCTTCTAGGAATAGTCAGTCAATAATCAACAAAGAGTGTCTATTTCATGTACACATTCAGTCCATATTGTTTCACCACACACAATAACTCAGCAATTTTTATTTATTTCTTCAGGTAAAAAAACTTCTTGCTCAATAATCAAAATCTTGATCCCTAAAGGAAACTTTAGACTGGTCATTACTCCAAAGTTGAAGACACCCTACGGAGAGGTTACACTGAGATCTTTCTCTTAATTATTTATGGTAATGTTTCTTACTTGAGGAACACGTGTTAGCAGAATGTGCAACTATAACTGTCATTAAAATTAAATACCCATTCAGTTGATGATGATCAGTAGACATCGCAAATACATGCACATTTCCCGGAACTAACTGAGTCTTAATGACGCATACACCGCCTCCACGTGTTCTTATGACTCAAACATATCCAGTATATTTTTATGCACATTTTAAAGTAGATTTCATTTCCGTCGATACTTTTTTATAAAAATCATCAGAGCTTTGAAAATGGCATTAATTCTTTTTAAAATCATCATCTTCATCCTTCATAAACAACTTTCATTACTCACGCAGAAAATATAAATAACAGTTATTTATATAACTAAATTAAATATTATTATCTTACTTTCAATTGTCTTAAAATTCTCTTCAAAGTTAATTAATTTTAATTAGTAAATACTATGTAATACAAAAATAACGACATTCATTATTTAATTATTTCTTATAGAATTCGTCATTAAACGTCAAGGTTGTTTTCAAAAAGTCATAAATTCTTCATCCGATAATGAACATTTTGAAAAGTAAAGACGATAATTTATAATTATTTAAATATGTTAAAAAAAATTAATTAAGTTTGTTAATTATGTAACTAATTTTAAAAAAATCAAAACAATAGATGATTCATTTAGTACTACCTTTGATGTTGATGGCCATCAAATATTGCGAAGAGTAAAGTAAAAATATGCGTATGTCTGACAGCTGAAATCAATAAATTACATCGTACGTTCGAGTTTTTGATGCTTTTTCAGTATTTTTGGAGTTATTAATATCATATTGATATGCATGTCTTTAAGGTGGATATTTTTTAATGACAAATAGTCCATCTGATGTTTTATTATTTACAATAGTAATGACGCAAGATAGAGTAGCAACCTCGTTAAGTTTGTTGCCAGCAAACACAGCCAGCATAGAGTTCTCCAGCCTTTGGATCGATAGAAGAATGAGCGTATCTTTGTGGGCGTGAAAAACTTTGGCCGAATGCGCGACATCACGACCAATTTATTCAACATTTTACCATATTTCTGCAGTTCTCTTCGTATACTATTGGAACTTTTATTTCGATATGAAAGGAATAACTATACGGTGATCCAGATCCTTGAATTTTATTTTCTTAAATCGCTTCTCGCTTGATATATAGAAATAAATATTTTTTTCCACAATAAGATAACATTGCTTTTCAATTTAAATACGAAATTAGAATGAATAAATAAAATGAAAAAAGCTAAAGAAATGTGTGAACTTTAAAATATCGAGACATGAAGTAAACTTTGATTTTTTTTTATACCCAAAATATTCCTTCAAATTTTAAGAAATAATTGACTTGAAAAATTTTCCAAGTTTCAGATTGTTGAAGTTAAAAAAATAATTTTTTAATTAAATAGAAAAAGTATGAGAAGTTAATTTTTAAAAATAGAATTAGTAATTAGCTATTGGATATTTTTTGCTGAAAGTAATTTCAATTTTAATTTGCATAAAAAACCTTTAAAGAAAAGTGACGATAATTAATAAAAAATGATGAATCGGTTTCCACAGTGAAATGAATAAATCAACAATTTCCACTACCATTTAGGTGCAAGTGCTTTAATTACATGTTCACTGTGCAATTCAGGACATTGACTGCCCATTTACACGCAAGTTTATATGCATTTATTTCATAAGGATTTAAGGAAGCGTGGCTACTCATGTTTATATACATTTTGCGAAATTGAAATTCATTATAAAATGTGAAAGAAAAAGTTTTATGTAAATTTATATTATTTCTTTGTTTAGGAATAAATAGAAACTAAAGTAAAATCATGTACATAGACTTAAATAAATCTTTATTTATATTTCATTTATTTATACATTATTTCATATGTTAAACTTACAGAAATAAAAAGACTTTAAGCTTTAAATTTAGATTATTTTTCACATTGAAAGCAAACACTGTTTCACCAAATTTTTGTTTTATAAAAATATTTTTAAAAATCAAATACTCTTTGTTTGTGTGATTATTCAAAAGTTTATAAACTTTTTTGCAATAACCAAAACAATGGATTGAATTATTTTTATTTTACTTTCTAGAATTAATATTTCAACTTAATTAGCAAAAATGTTGAAAACAAACAAAATAACTCGTGGATATTTCTTCAGAAAAAAATGATAGATTAGATGTTATACATCGAAGAGTTTCCTTATTTCGACATTCTTATTTTACTCAACAAATAACATACATTTATTATTTTTCTTTTCTAACTCAGGGTCGACCTGTCAGCAGCGAATAATGTAGTACATAATACAAACGATGGAGAAACTAGAATTATCGTACGAACTTTTATTTCGAGATGAAAATTTCATTTTTTTAACGAGTTGAGAACTTTCTCACTCAGTAATTCATTATTAAAAAATTTTAATTTTACTTTACACGATAAACACGCAAAATAATATCAGCAATGAATGAAAATCACGTATAGAAATACAATATTTGATTTAATAACTTAAAAATAAAAGAAAGTGCATGAGTCGAACGATAACATTGAGTTAATAAACCAACACATTTATCTTTACGATTCTCGACAACACTTTGATAAGACTACAAAAGAATACTTGGAATGATGGTATTATTTTTTATTGACACCACATAACACGCCAATATATTGGATGATGAATTGACAACATGCCCTGTACACTTTGTTACCTTGCCATAAATAATAATCTTGAAAACACACCACACGATATGAGAAACCTAAATCCGTCGGATAGGCTTATTGGAGTTGGTGAACGTAGTTGTGGTTGCTTTTTAGCTCGTTTAAATGTACAGTCATTACATGTACTGTTCCTTTGTCACGCGGTTTACGCGAGCGAATGTCAGGCCAAGTAACTGATGCCTGCTAATTGCCTTCTGCTAGCTATGAAGGTTGATAGATCTAGTGTTGGCGAACATCCAAGTATTATCATAGAATTATTGACAGATACAAACTCTCAATAATTTCGTAAAATTTTTTAATAACACTATTTTATCAAGATAAATATCATAAGAATAATTTAAGTCTACATACACAATATGTAGATAAACAAATTTTTCATGATCAACAAGTCAAACTAATGAACAATTTCGTAGAAAATAGAGAGAAAAGATCACATTGGTGAAAAAATAATAAGATAATTAATTCAATTGTGGAATAATTGTCAGATTGTGAATGAAATTACAAAATATTGAGATAAAGTGGACTTTTTATAACAATAATTTATTTTTTATCAACTTTAAAATAATTAAAATGTCACGATTAACATTGTAGATAAAATAAAGAACCGTTAATTAGTTAATTTCATATAAAAAGATGGAAAGAAAATAAAAGATGTGAGAGTAATATGGAAAATAGTAAGAGAGATTAATTTTCATTTAGCCGAGTAAAAGTAGAGAGGTAGATAATATGCAGATGACCAGGTGTACATTATTTTATGTTAGAAATAGAAATCAATTAAATTAAATTTATTTACTGTTTTTTGAAATACAGGTCACTCCAAAAAAATGGAGAAGAAAAAAATTAGCACAAACTTAGTCAAAGGCTTTGTCACCATTTACAGTTAAATATTATCAAAAGATTATTACTATTCTTATCAATTAATCATCATTTGATATAAAAATTAAGTAATGTCAGGTTAAAAAAAAATGTAAAAATTAAAAATCAAAAAATAATGTCACCAAAAGAATGTAAATTAAAATTTTGATGAGATTCGAATTTTTCTAAAAAATAAAAATATAAAATAAATATAACAAGTGGTTTAAAAAATTATTTAGTTTTCATAATATTCATAAAAATTGAAAGTTGTTTTTTTTGTTTATCTTTCCATATTCGATAAATATTTATAATATGGTACGATTAACAAGTATTTTTTTTGATGATCAATATTCAATACAGTCCAAGGATAGTTGAACAGGTTGGTTAGGTGGGATATTAAAAAATTAAAGTTTCAGATTGATAAAAAGACTGAATGTCATTAAGTAAATATTGGAGTATAAATTTTTGAACAAAGTAAAATAACGTTTTTATACGTCTTGAATTCTCAATAAAAAAACATTATACTCACTGATAAGCAAACTTAGCAATAGGATGATTAAAACGTGAGATTAAGTTAAATACTTGGAAAGAAAATAATATTTTGACATATCTTACCTCTCCGATTAAACGGTCTGACCCGAACAGCAACTTTTATTTTATCCGTGGCCATGATTCACACGATCAATTCCCGCACACGTTATTGATAAATCACAGTAAAAACAATGAGATGCAAAAACGTACACACTGTCTCGTCAATCACATATTCATCCTTGCGACGCATTATCATCAACCCATACCGTAGACTTTCATTCTTTCAAACAGCACTACGTCCAACCGTGCTCGTGACACACTTCGCCATATTGCTTTTGCTTTGCTCGTGCGTTAAACAGCTAGTGGACGACCTCCTGTCTCGTCCCATCTCCGGAACCCCTAGCGGACCGGAACAGAACTACAGTTGCCACCTAGCGACTAAAGTTACATCTAAAAAATAAATATTCAGCTGGTAATTTTAAACAATTTGTATACAGATCACTTAATTGTAAATATTATTTTAGTATAAACTTATTTATAAAATATTCATTTCAGTAATAAATTTTTAATCATAATCAACTAGCTTGATTATTTTTCAGTTTTTTTATTTATTCAAAAGTAACTCTGCTGTACGATTCACCTTTAACACTAGTTACCGCCAATTTTTTTAATATTCAGTGACTTTTCAATACAAATAATTAATCAAAATAATTATGTTAATAATTTAAAATATGCATATTTTGAAAATTTCGACTTTAAATAACTCTGTAAATTATATTATTGATACAGCTATCATCATTCGAGTGTATTACTATTGTTAAAATGTACTATAAAATTAAGGTTATGACAACAATGAAAACGAGTAATGTGTCGTGAGAACATGTGTACTAAATGTATTGAAAACGTGCCAGAAATTAGATTAATATTTGGAGAATTAATGAAATTGTAAGATATTAAATATTTATTTTTAGTAATAAATTATAAATACAATGATTATTAAGTTGAACAAAGTTATAAGTTGCTCATCAGAGCATCCAAATTTTCCTGCTTCAAATTTACTCCATAATCCACCACCTGGACCATGGAAATGTGCAAAACCAGGAGAAATGTTAGCTACAGTCATTCTCGAATTATCTGAGCCTTCTTGTATCATAGGATTGGACATAGGGAATTATCGATCATGTATAATCATTGTAGAAGCATCTAAATCGACAGAACCTGATCATTGGACTCAAATAATTAACCATCAATTTTTAACTCATGACGAAGCAGCGAATAATAAATTTAAAGATCAAGTCCAATTATTTACCAAAAAAGAATTGAATTCTGATATTTTAAAGGAAAAATTTGATCGCGTTAAAGTCACATGTATGCAATCTGCTAATTTAAAAGAACTTTTTGGTTTAGCTTTTATAACACTAAGAACAGAAGTTGTTATTGATTTAGGTATTAACGTTTTTGGAAGATTTAAAATGAAAGCTGAAGAACCAGAAAAAGCACGGCTAAGTTTCAAAGAAAAATACTTAAATTTATTTCCAGAGAAACAAAAGTCTTATAAAGAAGAACTTGCAGAAAAAATTAAGGAAACTACAGTAAACAATTTTAATAAACGTCAAGAAGAAGAAAGGCAACCAAGAAAGCGACCATTATTGGAAAAATTAGAAGCAGGAAAAAGTGAAGAAGTTTTCGGAAAAAAACCTAACGAAGATACATCAGAAGCTGGTACTAGCACATCTTCTATTCGTAAACCTAATGGAGTGACGAGAACACCTTTTGGGGATATAATTTCGACTCCAGAAAGACAAAAGAATCCTCCTAGCAAACAACAAAATATTGTTACTAAAACAGAGACAAAAATGCAATTAAATGATAAGAAAAATGTGAAAGAAGATGATGATAAAAAACAGAAAAAGCCGCGAAGAAGATTAAAAATTATAGATGACGATGATGAAGATGATACAGAGGACGAAAAATGTACATGCTCCAAAAACTCTCCAGATGAAAAATGTAAAGTCTGTAAAAGATTACCAACACCAACTGCTGAAAAACTACTGCCTCGTAAGAAGACAAAGATAGATCCACCAAAAAATACAGCAAAAAAAGAATTTTCTAAACTTATGGAAGATGTTACATTTGCTTTGAGTGGATACGTTAATCCACAGCGTGAAGAAATTAGAAGAAAAGCTTTAAAGATGGGAGCCAAATATGTTGCAGATCCGAATACTACTAATAATAAATGTACTCATTTGATATGTGCTTTTAAAAATACTCCCAAGTCCCAGCAGTTGAAAGGTCATTCGAAGATTGTTTCTCATATCTATATAGAAGAATGTTTCGATCATAAAAAGAGGTAAGAGCATAATTTACATTAGAAAATGTAATTGAAAACTAATTTTTTTTTTGTAATAAAGATTTCCTTGGAGACGTTACGCTTTGAATAGTAGTGACAAAAAGCAACCAGAAAGTGAAGAGGAAATTGATGGTTCAGCATCACCTCCACCTCCAGTAAACCCTTATGAAGTAGAAACGGAATCAGAAAGTAATGATGGAGATTATTAAATTGAAAAGTTATGATTTGAAATCAGTTTTGTCTAAAAATATACATAAATTACATGCCATATACCTGTAAAATAGTTGGTATATTTATTTATATTTTATAATAAGTCTTTATTTTTGTATTTGTATAAATAAATCTTGATACACAAAAATTTTATTAACCTATTCAATACAAATATTCAAGCTTAGATTTTTTGATATTAAAAATAACGTTAATAATTGGTTTAGTTTCCACTTTGGAAATAGAAATTATAATTATATATGCGTATGTACAAGAAGCATGGTCGATAAGTTATCCAAACAGTATAAGCGGCTCTAAACGTTTACATTTCATACATCAAAATTAAGGTGTTTTTATTTACGTTTGATGTTTGAGTCAAAAATCTGCGTGTCATTAAAAAGTGAAAAATGGCAAGTGCTACAAATTATTTTGGCTTTGAACTTTTGAACAAATTAGTGGATGATCAATTACAGAAAAAAGAAGATGTGATTATATTGTTCGTGCATTGGTTTTTGATAAAAAATGGGTTTAAATGTATTGGCTTAGGAGATTCAGTAAGTTTTTAATATTGCATATAATCGTACTAATTAAATAAAGATTGTTTATCTACTAAGCAGTATGAATATATTTGAAAAGTATATATCATTTACTTAAACAAACATATATGATATAAATAAATATATTAACCTAAAAATTTGCCAACGTTTTTGCACAACGTTATCTAAAGTTACATACATTCATCAAATAACTCTTAAAATGATTGTCTAATTTACTACGTAGTTGAGGTTCATGTTGAATTTCATGATCAATCTGTATTTTAGAAAACATTCGAACAAAATGAAGAAGGGTCTGAAATACTTCCTGAGGGATGGAGTCAGCAAAATCATTATGCATTACGATATTTAAAAAACGGAGAACTTTATATCTTTCTGGGCAGGAGATCAGACAATAATCTATTACTTAATTTTCTGGTATACGAGTTAATTTTTTAAAAATTATTATCTTTCATTATTTTTCAAATTTTATTTACAGTATAGTACTGTATTATTTTCAGCCAACTAATTCTACTGATAATGAAGTATCGAATGTGAAATTTCCAATAGAAACAACAGTAAATAGTACTCATGGACCATTATCAACTCTTATTCCAACTTATCAGGATGTGATTAACAAAATTTCAAAAGAATTAATAGAACCAGTATGTCCAGAATTTACTAAAGAAACATCTACACAAACTCTTGCTGAGACATCACAAAATCCACAAGAGCTCAATAGAGATCATTTGCAAATTGGACCACAACGACTACCCCAAAGACCATTAATGTAATTACTGAATACTTATTTTTTAAAAAATTTTTTTTTCTAATGATCAATTAAATGATTAATCTATGATCTTAATTCGTGTAAAAATTATCTATATTTGTTAACTGATAATCTTTCCTTGTTACAGAGGTAATGTTTATGGAGTTGGAAGAAGAGATTTAGATCCATTCGGAGGAATAGGACCAAGAGATGGAGGGATGCTTTTTGATCCTTTCCATCCAGGCGGAAGACTAAACATTGATCCTTTAAGACCTGGAGGTTTAGGCGGCCCAAATTTACCACCGTAAGTAATGTTTATTCAATACAATAAATAAATGAATAAATATTTATCGATTATATTTTTCAGTGCTGCAATTCCGCCTGGTGCAAGATTTGATCCTTTTGGACCTCCCGATGTTAACAGGCCCGGTCCCTACCGTAGAAATCCTGACCATGATCATCTTCCTCCCCCAGGATATGATGATATGTTTCAATAAAAAAAATTTTTTACAGACTATTATTTTTTATTTGATTAAAAGGTATTTCCTTGAAAAATGTACATTTTTATTGAAAAAAATAATAAGATCGTTTACATGATTTTTTTTGTGTTTTCTTTCAACCGATAATTGTAGAATGGCAACTAAAAACAATAAAAATATGTATCTATACTATTGTTCAATGATCCTGATAATGATTGTACACACATTGAAACGAGCGTTTCGACTCATTTCCTCGCAAATAAAAAAATATGGAAATGGAAAGCAAAAGAAGTACTATATAATAAATTCGTACAATTTCAAAAATGATACAGAATTATTATGGTAAATTGCTTCAATTATTCGATATTTATAGCTTTTTTTTATAATCTACAATTCATATCAAAATCATCGCCAATTATTATTATTATTACAATGAAAATTTTTTAATTCCTATCATTTGCATTTGCCTTTGCAAAATTATATCACAGGCACGCATTCACAAAAAAAAATACTTAAACTTTAAGTGCAATGCAAGAAGAAGTGAATCGATACGCATGTATCAAAAATCAAATAATTTTTTCTATTAACGTAATACATCGTGATTTTCATCGTGGTAACTCTTAATTTAATTGCTCGATTCTTAATAATAGATATGGTGGATCCCAGTTCGTAAGGAAGCGAAAGAGATAAATGAAAGTAATTTGTTGTATACAATAATTGGCAATACAATTGAACTTAGGAATTGAAGAGACGATAGATTACAATTATTATTGTTATGATTATTTATAATTAATATTAATGTTATTCTTATTATTATTTTATCATTATTATTATTGAAATATTAAGCTAAGGTTCAGTATGATTTTTCGTTTACGAACGTCCATAGTCCCATCCTCTGATAAAAAATATTGCAGTTCTTTGACATTTTACAAAAAAAGGTGTGTATGTACCAGTTATCAATTCATTCTTTCATCTGTGATCGTAGTGAATGTAATTATGTATAACAATATTTTTGAAATTATAAAAAAAAATTATTTTTTCCCAATTCAAATAAATTCTATTCGTTCTTTTATATCAATTGTAGTTACTATTATGGTTCTATTTTATTAAATTTAAAATTAATTGTTCATTTTCATGGTAGAAATATTTCAAGGAATAATTTGGTGTAGAATTGATTTAGAACTCAGAAAAATTAATTTTTTCTTCAAGTATATCGTATATAAAATATAATTTACATTAATTAATCATGTACAATTGGAATGGATATATTAAATATTGTACATAGCACTCCACAATGGTGAATCTCAGTTAAAATTGTTCGAAAGTTTCCTCCGACGCCAATAAAATTAATTGTACCATAAAATAAACGGACGGTTAGCCAGAGTGACTTTCAAACAATGATTGAGTGAATAAAATGACTAGGTGAAAAGCATTATACAATTATCATGTGCAAAAATATACATTCACGTTAGATCATCAGACTAATTGAATGGTCTAAAGATTTAATTTCGTTATTAATTATTTGACGAGTGAATTTTCTAGTTTTTTATTTATTTATTTTTTTTTGAACACAGTTTATCGTGGCGCACAGCGTCACTGACAATTTTACAAAATTTGCCAGCCGATTAATGTATTTCTTATTTTGTGAAAAAAGTGCAGTCATGGCTTGCAAAATTTATCGAACAGGGATCAGATGATTTTATATTTTTTCAATTTTTATAAAATTGCCATTGAGCTACGATTAAAGTGATATATGTTTTAATTCTGAAGTGAATTACCTCGCTTTTATAACACAATTTAACTACACTGAGAGAAAAAATTATCTAAAAAATTGATAATTTTATTGAAAATTTAAATAAAAATTATCAACTCAGTATTCATTCCACTTTACTACTATCGTTATATTTATATAGTTGAATTATTTATATAAATAATTTTTTATCAAAAACAAAATAGTACAAAATATAATAAGCAAAATAGAAATTCAACTTAAAAATATCATTACATTTGATCAATAATCATTTAATGTGAAATTTATTCATCTTTTTTTTTTGAGACAAAAATTTTCAATAAAATTATTCTCTATGTCAATAATTATTCTACAATGAATGAATAATCTTTTTCTCTCACACTCATTGATCAAGTTAAAGTAGAATCCAGATCCAATAATAGTTTTAAACAACATCGACGGCATGCCACTGGAAATGCAACTTGATGTAATATTTTATGCGATAATAATCTTCTTCCACCCAAGAAAAAATAATTGTTTAATGGTTGTGATACTCCTGAGAATTTATTTATTTTCCTATTTGTCTTTTTTTATGTACCTACATGCTATTTAACATATATTATTAAAATATTTGTGATGTTTGGTGATTAATTGCACAATTAAAACAGCAAATAATGAGCTCAAGATCAGAAGTTATTCAGCAAGAGCTGTAGATATGGTGAATAAAATTTTTTTCTTAGAGATCATGTGGAAGTTGACTTAATCTTCATGATAAAAGAGTTATTGTCCAAGCAATAATAATAATAATAGATTTTTTACCATCATGGCGATATTTACTGCCATAATAATTCAATACATATGATATATATACATAAAATCATTTCTTTCTTTCGTCACTGTAATCTCATTCAAATAATTCAATACTCTTTGTCAATGATTCAATTATTTCTCAATGTTATAATTGATTTAAACATTACACAATCATTAATTAATTATTAATAATATTGTTCGATAATTTCCATGTTCATTCAAACCATAAAGGGAATCCACGAAAATAATTTTTCATTTTGTTTGTTTTAGATATAGGATTAATATCAAAATAAAATATTCAATAAAATCCAGAAAGGTTACATTAATATTCAGTCATAAAAATTTGACTTGGATGTATTGATCAAGATCATAAAAATGAATTTATAAAATTTATAATATAACTATAGGCAGTTACTCTCGTGTTGCATTTCCACTGATAGGCCTTTTTAGAATATAAACGGTACAATACGTCACTTCTCTTCTCGTCACAGGAGTGCAATCCTATAAAATTAGATATACCAATCATTATCAATTACTTTAGTTGCTTTGAAAGAACAGTTTCATCTACTGGACACAGCACGAGTTTTTTTGTCCATTTTTGAGTTTAAGTCGAGATTTTGGACGATATTTTTCCAAATACGCTAATTGCTTGGCATTTATAGCGCCTCGTCTCTTCCTGTTAATTAAATACACATAAGAAAATTAATATTTAGAATAATTATTTATCAATTCTCAAACTTGACAATAGACAAAAAGTGCATCATCAATGATAATTTAAATCAATTGTCTTATGATCGGATTAATAGAGTACTAATTGTCTAGTGTCAATCTATCAATTAATAAATATCAGATAATACTGACTCTCTAATTAATGCAACCGCATCTTCGTACTTCAGTCCAAGCTCAATGAGCGCTAGTGCGACTAGTACAGGCGCCCTGCCGAGTCCAGCAACACAGTGTACCGCTACACAGGCTTCGGGCGTCTCTCGGAATCGATTCTTTAATAATTCAAACCATTCGTCAACCACCTGAAAAAAAGAAATATTTTTATATAATTAAACTGGGCCAAAAATTTCATCAAAAAATAATGAAACAAACACATACCTCATTAGGAGGAAATGTTCCATCATCAAAAACTAAATCAAGAACATTAATTCCCTCTGATTTAAGCTCCTCAACTTTGTACGTTGGTTCACAGACCCTCACTACCTCCTTTACATTGTGCTTTTTCAATTCCTAAAATAGATTATAGAATCTCAATATCCTTTATATAAATAAAACAATAAAAGTTTTATAAACTTACTTGGATGAAGGTGTGAATAGTCTGATCATTGGGCCGATCAGTAATGAGGAATTTCATATTTTTGTATTCAATTTCAGCGGGAGCTGGCCTGATATCTTTAACCCTCATGTTGCTCATTTCCTTTTCAACAACACAGGTTTTAAATAATTTTTTGCTTTACAACTAAGCAAAAAAGAGTTAAATAAATTAATATTCCTGAATATTATTTAAAATCAATAAAATTCAGCGAGGTCACTCCCTTTCTTCTAATTATTACTATTATTATCTTTCAATAAACTCAATATCACGAATAAAAACTGCACTGTGTTTAGCAAGTGGCTGGATTTGACAATTTAGCCCATAGATCTCAGTCTTATGTTGCTTTTTTCTTTTTGTTTTCAATTAACTAACCAATTTGAATTATTTTTTTATACAGAGGACAGAACGATGGGTTCTTACATGTAGACCTCGGGAAGGGTTTTTCTGGGTGCGAAATTCGCTTAAGTTTGAGGACTACGTTACATTAGACGGTGATATGCACTATTCGGAAGATTATCTGCAATAAAAAATGAATGTCATTTATAAAATGAATATAAATAATCTTTTATAATTATAATTGAAATATAGAATCATACCTATTTGGCACTGGGTGCTTCTGAACGAGGCACACACAGCTACTACGATGTCTTCATACAAGATCAATTAAAATTTTCTTCTAATAAATTTTTTCTATGTTGCGTGATGACTAGCAGATGATTTCAGGCTCTCTGGTAGTGGTCTAAATACTTTAACTGTAATTTAATCTCCTTCTTTTTCGTGGTCTTTCTTGCTCTCACGCTCTTTCTTTCTCTCTCTTGCTCTTTCTCTTTCGTTCTCTCTTTCCTTCGTCTTAAAAAGTATCTAGTCAGTGTTGGGATGTGCAGAACGTGTCTCTCTATTTGTGTTGAGCCTGGCAGTATTCCGCGCTATCCAGCTGAAACTCCATGTATGTGAGGATGCACTCACCAGGAAACTGCAATCAAAAGAATCGTTTTATGATTTTATTAACATTCAGAATGTTTTTGTACAAAGGTTGTGAACGTAATAAATGGTTTTGTGCCGCTAAATATTTATGTATTTTTATTTTGCTATTTTGAATAAAGCATTGTTTAATATATAAGGATGTAGAGGTTGTTTTGACATTCAAAGTAATTTGCAATGTATTTATAGAAAAGTTTAAATCATGAAAGCAATCGTAATTCGTCAAACAAAGCATTCAACACTGGCATCAACTAAAATTTTTGACAAATTTCCCATATATTTCGGGATCTTTAATTATTTATCTTATTTGTACGATTCTGAGGATTGTGTACGATTCTAAGGTTCAAGTATATAAATATCATACATGATAGATACTGAACACCCACATTATACTGATAAATTCGAGAAAGATTTGAACACACAAAATATATTTCTTTGTAACTTTGCCAAGTAAAACAACAAGTTTAGCCTCTGAGTAAATTTAAGGAGTTTCCTCTCTACTGAAATCTCTCAAAGGCGAGACTTTTGGCTCGTACTTTCATAACGTACTACACTACTTTGATGTGAGAATGTCTAGGTCAACATTCTCAGTTACTATTGTTAGTAAATTTGCTAGTAATTAATTTTACTAAACTAACATTAATCCATTAACTTACTAGCTATTACGAAAGCAACAGTAAACGTCAGAGAAAGAATGACTGTTTGATTCTATAAAGTGAATTATAAAATAAATATGAATAAAAATTCGAAAAAAAATTTTTTTTTATAAAGAGTTATTTGATTACAGTAAAATTTTATTTTAAATAAAATATCATCATTTTATGAAGAGAAAAAAATTTTAATCTTTAAAAAATTTTTACCTGGAATCAAATCGTCATGATTAAAACAAGTTTAATTATTTTTGTTGTTTGTTATTATTCATTTTTATAAAATAACATTTTCTCCGAAATGCCAGAAATGTTTTTTCAATTTTTTTTTCTAGAGAACTGAATATTATATTAAGAAAACTACTATAAAAATATATTTATATTAAAAAAAATAGATGTCAAACAAGAATTATTTTTAAAAAAACATTCTAAACTTTAAAAAATTTTTTTAAGTAATCCATTATATAGATTGATAAAATCTATGAAGTACTGATACACATCATAATATTATTATAATCGAATTTTTATCATGTATAAAAGTAATCAATAAAAAATCTTACTCTAAACGTAGCAATATTATGAAGAAATAAAAAAATTATTTAATTTGTCATGTAAATAAAAATCGATATAAAAATTATAATTCTGAATAAAGAACTATTGAAATTACCAATATATTCAATAAAATATTTTGAAAAAAGTTAATAAAAGGCATCCAGAGAAGCAAAAAATTTATTTGACTTCTTCAAGATCATATTGATAATAACACAATCACTTCTTTTGTTTCAAGATAATTGCAAACAATTTGATTATTCAGTACTCCAGCTGTTAGTAATCAATTATTTTTATCACATTCAAGAGGTTGATTGACTTTTAATTTCATCCATTTTTGTAGTATTTTTAGTTTAAACACTTTTAATGAATTAAAAATACAGTACTCAAATATCCGGTACATAAAAAGTCTATTTGAAAAATTCTCATCAATAAAACTTTAAAATTATTTATAGAATTTTTTAATGTCATAAAATATGAATAATGAATAAATGTATATTCATTATTATTTTCTATTTCAATTATATAATACTCATAAGAACAATTAAATTTTATCAAATTAACAAAAATTCAATTTAGTTTTATTCCATTAATAACTTTGTTCTATTGATTATTCTACATTATATTATATCATTGTAATTAATCAAATCAAATTAGTAATTGATTATTTTTTTCATTAACACAAATAAATCACATCTTTTGGTCCTATTACTTCAAAAATATTGCTGCATCATCAAACCTTTTAAATTCGTTTAACTCATCTCTAATTCTATATTTCATGTTGCCTGTAACTAAAATTCTAAATCATGTCAGCAATAATAGAATGATACTGAAATGTTAATACCTATAACCTTTTGGAGCATGTAATTTCTAGCAAATTATCTAGCAAATACTCAATATCAAATGAGTACTACTTACTACATGCGATTACATTTAGTATACACAATTTAATTAAAATGCGATCAATTTTATTCTAAACTATTTATTGTACAGTTCTACATACTGTTGTCTTTGTTGAGAACTGCAGTATAAATTTCATCGCAAGTACAGCAATCTCTGATAGTTGTCAAAAATCAAGACAAAAGTTTAAGACAAAATAATAGTGCATATAAAATGAACCATTTCGTTCAAATAATTACATTGAACACGAAGGTTACAAGTAAAATATATTTTTCCTAATTTGCATGTGTGCGCAATATTTTCTTTTCCGGTAGGCCTTGATCTCAAGGGTGACATTAGCATGCGAGCAATACAAAAATAGATCTCCCTAATGCAACTGTTCCATCTCTCACAATAATAAATCATAAGACGAAATCTACTATTGAGAAATATTTCGGAATAGCCGCATGCAATTTGACGATATTGGCAGTCAGACATGGCCACGAGTTCAAGTCAGCTGATCTCCAATACGTTTGCGAAAATGCGCAGTAAAAAAAAATATTACGCAAAGCAATAGACTCTCAAGTACTTATTTGGTGGTAAAAATCCATGAAAGTTCATTGAGATAGTTGAATAAAAAATTTCAATGAAGTAGATTAAAGAATTTATATGCGTTTTATTGGCCCTCTTTTGAAGATGTCATTAGTGAGAACTGGTTTGTGGTGTAGTGGAAGAAAAATTTAATAGTCAACAGGTGTCATAAATTCACGCAAAGCTGTAGTAAAATATTAGTTTATCATTAAGGCATGGTTTATAGTGGGTAATATGTTTAGAGATCCTAGTATAAACATCAGCATTACGTACCAACAATAAAAGATATGCGCAACTAGATCTGGTCAAACATGAAATAAATTTAAAAGAAGTATTTTCGAAACACGAGAAGTATCTCAAAGCATCCAATTAGTATCAACGATCGACCAAATAATAGGCAATAAATAATTGATTAAATATAGAAGGAAATAATTGTTAGGCATCATTGTAAATTTTTTTACGTCATCAAATTAATCAGCTTTCTTTCGTTTTTTATAGTAAGATTATACTAGTTACTTATAAGACAATGAAGAATGGCTTGTTATAATTTATTTAAAAAATAGTTAAAATCGATTGTCTCTCTTTTTTCCATCAACTGCTTGATCACTGAAGCTTGAAATATGAGCGAGGACGTTTAAAAATATTTGCATCAAGTCTTTTCCGCTTCCGTTTGTAACAAAACATCAACAAGACATAAAAATACAATCAAATATGTTTAAAAGCCGGTAAATTTTTATATTTTGTTTTTGTTAATGAAATAAAAGAAATAACATAGACAATTAAAAAAAAAACCACAAATGTTGATAAATATAAAATATTATCAACAAGTTCAATACAAGTGTAACAGGTTGTTTGATTGTCACTTCAATGAAGAATAAAAAAGAGATCGAGAATATTCTACAAACGTAATGATGACGAAATTCTACTTGAAAATTATTTTTAGTTTAACCTTCATCGGTTGTAAAAACCTCTCAATCACATACAAATCTTTGGGGTTCAAAATCGATCGTTTAATTTCCAAAAATTTTCAGATGGATGACTATTCATAATAATGAATGATTAAGTAATCTCCTCATTCATAGAAATAAAATTAATTTAAAAAAAAATTCAGAAATTTCCAGTGAAGTCAGATTGTTTCATCAGCTGGTTCACAAGAACATTCACTCGAATACTGATTATAAGCTAACCCCATTATTTTCTCCTTATCACGTATGATTTTTTATTAAATGTATTAATGATTCATCTTGGAAGATTCCTTTACGTACATATAATCACTAAAAATAGTCCAATAAAATTCTTAACTTCAATCTATTGATTCTAGAAATGCATCATCTGTTTACCAACTTTAATTATTTCCTATTATCTTAATGATTCCTTGTCAAAGCACCTTACAGAAAACTTTACTGATAATCATTTAAAACTGATCTAATAACCACAAATTAGAAGCAAATAAATTCAGGTTGATAAATATTATTACCTTATTATCATAAATGTTCCAATCAATGTAAAACCCTCCCGCAATGAATTATATTATTCATAAAAACACGGGTAGGATTATCACAAGTCACCAAACAGTCACATCTTACATGAAAACCAACACTTCAGTAACAAAATGATTTCTTCAAGGATAGAACTCTTGCTTAGTAATGTTTCTCAACAGACATTGACATGTAAATGAAAAGCCACGCTTGTAGATTTATTTATCGCTCTAAAATGTTAATATTAAAATAGTAGACAAAAGAACGATTAAACTTTTAGATATATACGAGAGTACATTTCTCAAGTTATAAAACAACTCAACTATAAGCACGTAGCAGACAAAAAGTTTGCAACGAACACACTGTTTGACGGTCGCTACGAATCTGGGCCAGCAGTAGAGACTGATGAAAATAGCACGTCGCTGAGTAGACCGGCTTGTTGAACAGAATCAGCGAGACAGTTTTTCCCTCTCTCTAAAATTTATTTGAGACGCGTGGGGTTCACTTCTTTATTCAGCACCCCGCGCACTTTTCATACCAATGCTAACCAATCCAAGAGTGGGAGACGCTCATGACGTCATTTCCATCAGATTCCCCTTTTTTTGCTTTTGTATATTTTTCCCAGATTTCTAAGAGACTATAGAATTAAATTGGTTTGAATATACAGAAAATGTTGCTTACGTTTCTAATGTTGAAAAAAGAATTTTTCTTTCTAGAAGACATTTCAATTATGAAAAGTGTATGTCGTAATTAAGTTATCGTTGTCGGTAATGGAGAATAGTAATTAATTAAGGTGAATATTGTGGAGACAATTGCATATAGTTTTCAGAAGTTTCTCAAGAGTCGAGCTGATGAGACATGAAAGCTCATGTAGAGCATGCAAGTTCGATAAAATTGTGTGCTAGTGAATGTAGTCTGTACCAAATGAGCTTTCTAGGTCGGGTTAGTCGGTTAAACTGGCATACACATTTTCATCTTCAGTTAACTGAGAAGAGAGTTATTTTTATTTTTTCTTTTTTTTGCACCTTTCACAAAATAATCTTTTCCTATCAAAAGTTTAAATTGAAATTTTGTTAATTTTATCAAGACTTTTCTAAGATTTTCATGTTAAAAATAGTGATATATGAAATAGTAAAAAAGGATTATTTATATGTTTATTCATAAAAAATTTGGTATCAATTTTTTCGATTATTTAGAAAATTTAAATTTTATTACAATTACAAGCATTTACTTTTTTATAAGAAAATAAATGAAACTATTAACCATTTTAGCGTTAAATTTTAAATATTTTTGAGTAAAAGTATATTTTTAATTTTTTTATACAAGTAATTGAATCAATTCCATTACATAAAACTTTATTAAATATTTTAACTGATTTAAAGAAAATCTTTTTTTTTGATATTATTCAAAAAGTTAATATTTAATTAAAAAATTAAGTAAAGTAAATAAGAAAACTGATTTCTGTTGAATATTCATTTTTAACAAGTAGAAAAAAGAGTCCATAAAAAGTTTTTTAAATAAAATTTAAATTATAAAAAAATATATATAATATATATTTGAAAATATTTACTAACAACTGTTGTTCATATTCGACGTAGATAATTTGTTTGTTTAGATATAAATCACAATGCCAGAGAATTCTCCTTGAATATATGATTATTTAAAAATCAATAGAAAAAGTTATGGACGAAATACTACGTTGTTTTTTTATAAACTTAAATTTTGAAGTCATTCTCTCGACTTATAGTCACTTTAATTTATCAATAATTTGATGTTTACTCGATACGAAGTTCAAATTTATTTTCATCAATCGTTTAATCGAAAAAAAAATAAAAACTGAGTCGCATGAAATGAATTCGTTGATTAACTGGACTTCTGAAGTACGTCATAGCTGCAGTTTATGGCGAAGAAAGTGAGTTGTGACCTCAATTTATTTCTCTTTATACTTTTTATTTGAACTTTCGTTAAGGATCATAACTAGATTCAATGAAATACTTAATAATGGGACTATATAATTTATTTTATTTGATTAAATGATATGATACAACGTTATAATTTATAAATTTACATTTACATTACTAGTTTATTATTATGAAGAACTAGTCTCACTGTATCATCCTCTATATCCAATGTATATAAATAACTCTATAATAACTCTACTAACTGATCAATAACTAGTCTAATCCTAGAGATTTTGTTGTTTGAAGTCAGTTGGATGATTCCTCAAGGTAATGTGTCTCGATGTTTCCATCGTTATTTCCTTTTTTTTTCATTTATAAACTGTAATTACACTTGAACTCCAATTTTAATATTAAACATTACAACAGATTAAACAATTTTCAATGTCTTCAATGTCAAAGAATAAATATTGCATAACAAGTACGTAAGATGCATACGCAAGAATTTTTCTTTTTTTTTACATTTATTATTTTTTTTATGATAATTTAAAAATGTGAATAAAAATTTAATTACTTATTTAATAATACATATTTTTTTAATTACAATTAAAATGAATTAATTATTTGAAACATAAATACTTTTTTGAAAACAAAAAAAAATATTTTCAAAATATATTATAGCATATATGTCATAATAAATAATTGAATAGAATTATTATTTAATCAACGATTGTTATTTTGCACATAATATCTGTATTTATTTTAATTGATGAAAAATTCAATTTGGAATTGTTATTTAGAAAAATATTGAAAATTTATTTAAATTTATAATAATTTAATAAAATAAATATTTTACATAATTGATTATCATGTAATCATTTGAAGTGATTAATTATTCACTGTTATGTTGATAAAGATTTTTTTTATTTTAAAATTGTTTATTTCCTCTGATAAATTTTTAGATTACTGTATGGAATAAAAAAATGTACTCACAAATAGGAGTATTAGACATATTGCAAAAGTCATTTACGTCAAATGTTTTATCAAAAGATAATCTTCAAATCATTTGGTGTCTTTCAGCAAAAAAAATATCAAGTTTCAATTTCATTATTGAATACCAACTACAAATGTGACCAGATGGTTCTGCTACTGTTTTTATCAATATTAAAAATAATCACCATGATAATAGTAATAATAATAATAATAATAATAATAATAGAAAAAAGCAGATTAGTGTAGCATCATGAACACATCATGTGATGGCCTTGTATTTTTAATGAATGACAAACGTCACTAACGCTGTAACTAAAAGAAGTTTATAATGTTAGGTGTTTCAATCTTAGCCATATAGTAGTTGGTTATCTCTAAGGTCGTTTCCATCGTCAGAGCAACCAATTAACTGCTCTAACAAACTTCAAAGAATCTCTTAAACCATCTTGTCGTGGTTGATGTTGTTAAATAACAACACACAAGGAGATTGCTTAATTTAAATACTTTCTCTTTGTCATCTTCTTTGAGATGCATTTTGTTTTGGTTTTATTATCGAACCAAATTTTTTTCGGATACTATACACTGAATGGATTTTTCAGTTATTCACCTGAAGTGACCTTTTAGTGTTCACAAGTATCCACCTTTACTTCATATGATACTTAAGAGATCAATGAGCGATATTTTTCGCTTAAATTCATGCATCTTTTAAATTTTATCAATGACTATTAAACTGATTTTCAGTGACAATTGAACCACCAATTCCGTCAGTAACCCGATTGGCACTGAAAAATTAGTTAATAGTCTCTGTTGTATTCCAACGAGATTTATTTAAGTAATTTTCAATTTACAAAACAATTGTATTCTAACTAATATTATTCGTTATTTAATATTGGACATAGATTTAAAGGAAGATAATTTTTAACAGAGATTTAGTATAGACTTGTCGAAGGAAGAATTGTAACTGATCTAACTAGTGAAGAATGATGATCATATTTATATTAGTGCATGGTGTGCATTAGGTACTATGGTTGATGGTAGGACAAAGGTTCCAACGTGGAAAGTTAGGAAATTTGGGCGTTAAGTCAGTCACCGTAGTTTTATTTATTTACTATGGTGGATGGTAGGGCAAAGGTTCCAACGTGGAAAGTTGGGAAATTTGGGCGTTAAGTCCTTGACCGTAGTTTTATTGCATTTCTTTGAAAAAGTCATAAAGTTACTTTTTGTATTAATAATAGCTTTGTTTTAATAATTCTATTGTTCATATTGGTAAATCATTAGGTTTTCCAACATCTCTCATAAAATTCAAGATTTGAATCAAGTTGAAAAGATATATTTTTTTATGAATTTCACAATAATGCAAAATTCTAGAATTTATCAGTTTAAAAATAGCATTAGTTCAAATTGACCTCACACGCGTTGAAAGTTTCTATATAGAAATGTGCACTCCATAACTCAATAAGAAAGCAAAAATGACATAACATAATAATAGAATATAAAATTATGTATATTATATTTTTCAGGAACTGGAAGAAAGAATCATAATAATAAGCTTTCATAAAAATGTCATCTACAGCAAATAATTGACAAATCCACCCCCGCTGATATTTGTTTATCAAATATCATTCAACTGGATGTAGAAACTGACGTAGGTTGTAATGGGAAAACTTGAACAATGTTCATGACGTCATGAAAAGCGGAAATAAAATAAATAATCACTTCTTCTCTACTGACGTCATAACGTACATCAAATAACAAATTGAGAGAAGTTAAAGCGCGTGCTCAAAGGGGACGCTGACCCGTCACCAAATGTCGAGACATGTTACTATGTAACTCCATATTGTAAAACTAAATCTAATGAAAAGAGTTTGTAGTTAAACAAGTTGTAATTTATTCAAGTACGATTTTAGATAACTAAAATGCTTGGGGAATTTTAACGGAAGTACTTGAGTCAAAGGAAGCACATACAAGCCACTTGAGAATTAACTTGTACGTATAATGATGACGATGAGACGCAAGATGTATTGTTATTTCATCAGGGTCATACACGAGTAATCTACAAGAAGAAGAAGTGAGAGAGGGACGTCGGACACCCTTGGAAAATCGATATCTCATCCGGGTCAGTGGGTTGAGCCATACGGTAGATGATAACGATTCTCAAAATGGCGGACAAGGTTTTGCAGGTCACTTGGAAATGGTTTTTTTTTTTCGCTCATTAATTCACTTTTCATGATGAAGAGACTAAAAATTTCTCTTTGTTCGTCAAGGTCTGAGTTTGAAACAAAAAGAAAGTGCATTGCGCCAGTTCACGAGAAAGAATTACGTCTACAGACGTAGCGTGCTGAAAAAGAAGGCAATTTTTTTTTTTTTTCAATTTTCATCTCCAATGATCCTTGAGCTTATGATGGTAAAAGATTCGTAGAAAGTGCCCTCGAGCCTTTCAGACGCCGCCGATCGTTAGCCAAGGTCAGTGACATCGGACAGCGACCCCGTCTGGCTGCGTCGGGTATCTCTCCTGCATCGAACCTGCCACCCA